GTGATGATTTCTATAGGGGAATGTATTCCTTAAGAGTCCTACCTCAGAGGAACTATTCCCCCACAGTGTTGAGGATCCCAGGAGGGAATGTGGAGGGTGAGCTCTGGGATTCCTGAGTTTGTTCCGAGGAGTGCCCCAAAAGGAGGGGAAGAAGAGACACAGAGGGACTAGGGATTTTTAAACTAATGGTTCCATTTGAGGAGCACTTAGTAGTGGCCCCATTCTGCATAGCAAATTTCTATCCAAAAGGTTCACAGGAGATCAGAAAAGAATGCTCCAAGAACTCTTACACATTAAGGGAATAATTGGGAACTGACCCTGACCAAATCCAAGATGCCCTGAGTTTCAACATGTTTATGCAGTACATGGATTAGGACAGAGGTGGAGGCCGCAGTATCAATCAGCAATCCTAATATGCTCCTCATATCATGGGGGTGGTGTGAGGCTCACATGTTAGTGGCACTAAGTATGTAAGAACAGAAGGAAAGAACTCATTCCAGTTGCCTCTTCTCCTTCTCTTCCCCACACCTTCATGCTGATTGAGACCCTGTGGCCTTTTGCTTCCAATCCACCTTCTTTTTTCTACAATTTCAGGGAATGTGCCCTTTCTTTCTACAGTAAAAGCACTCCCTTGCCTCCCTTCTTGATTCCTGAATGGCACTGGGAAGAGTAGCCACCACCACAGTGGATTTCGATTTGCTAGCTTCCACTCACCTCTGGTAAACATAAGTGGCAATTCCTATTAATTCATGTATCTGTGATTTGTACCACATCCCTCCCTAAGGCTTCGGAATAAGTCGTTCTTGTAAAGGAAGAAGAGACACCCACACAGGTGGCATGTTAGTAATGGGAAGGGTATATGTGAGAGAAGGGGAAAGGTCAGATGGTGAATTAGAGGCAACCCAGCTGACCTCTCTCAACATTTCCATCCAAAAAACTTTAAAATAATGCCTCAAATCAAATTTTTGAGTGGCAGGACCAACAAAAGATCAGGGTGAGAAATTTTTCCAACTTAAGATGACTTAAGAGGTCAGAAGGAGAGGTCTTTATCACCAGAGTGGGCAACAGCCCAAAGTGTGACAGCAACAGCAGCAGTAAGCCCTGGAGACTGTGACCAGAACAGCAGCAGCAGCAACTTCAGGAGTTTTCAGCCCAGACACAATAAAGGGGTCAGACAATTGGTCAGAAAGACTACAGAGGATCTGGCACTGGGTACAACTGGCATTAGTTGGCAACTCTATTGTCTATGCACAGTTCCGAGTCAGTTTCATGGCAGAGAGGGACATTAGCACTACAGGGAACCACAGAAACTTCCTGGGTAAAGATAAAAGTGTAGACCATGAGAGCTATAACAATACCTCTCCCTGCATCATTCCACCTTGGAAACACCAAAAACTTGCAAACTACCAGAACTAGTTCTGAAAATAGAAACACAAAAAAGTCTGACGCTTCCGACAGTGCTCCCCACCCCCAAGTAAGCAGAGCCCAACTTTAACACAAAGTTCAAAGTCAAGAAAAGGGATGGGAAAATGAGGGGAAAAGAATTTGGCCTTTAAAATTACTATGGTGGCAGAGAAGACTAAGACATAAACTTGGAAGAAGACAACAATGTGAAAATGGCTACAAAGAAAGTATCAAAGAAAAATGTTAATTGGACCCAAGGCCAACAAGAATTCCTGGAAGAGTTAAAGAAAGAGATATGAGTGGTAGAGGAAAAATTGAGAAAAGAAATGAAAGTGATGCAAGAAAATTATGAAAAAAGAACTAACAACCTGGTAAAAGAGGCACACAAAAAATACAGAAGAAAATAATGCCTTAAAAAACAGAATTAGAAAAGGGGGTTAAAAATTTACTGAAGAAAAGTACTTCTTAAAAAGCAGAATTGGTCAAATGGGAAAAGAGGCATAAAGTCTCACCAAAGAAAATAATTCCTTAAATATAGGAATTGGGTAAGTGGAAGCTAATGAAATATCAAGAAACAATAAAACAAAGTCAAAAGAAGAAGAAAATGTGAACTATTTCCTTAGGAAAACAACTGACCTAGAAAATAGATTAAGAGAGATAATTTAAGAATTGTTGAACTACCAAATTATCAAGGAAAATTGCCCCAATATCTTAGATCCAGAGGGTAAAACAGAAATTGAAAAAAATCTACTGATCACCTCCTGAAAGAGATCCCAAAATAAAAATTCTCAGAATATCATAGCCAAATTTTAGAGCTCGCAGGTCAAGGAGAAAAGCAACCAGCAAGAAACAACTCAAATATTGTGGAGCCATAGTCAGGATCACACAATATTTAATGGCTTTCATGTTAAAAAAAAAAAAAGCAAAGAGCTTAGAAAATGATATTCCAGAAGGCAAAAGACCTGCAATTACAACTAAGAATCACCTACCCAGAAAAACTGAGTTATCCTTCAGGAGAAAAAATGGATATTTAATGGAATAGAGGACTTTTAAACATTTCTGATGAAAAGACCAGAACTGAATAGAAAACTTGACTTTCAAACACAAGACTCAAGAGAAGCATAAAGAGGTAAACATAAAATAGTAATCATGAGTCTCAATGAAATTAAACTATTTACATTTCTTTTTTTAAAAAGTCATATCCAAAAATGCTCTAAATCACTAATAATTAGAGAAAAGCACATTTAAACAACTCTGAGGAATCACCTTACACCTATTAGATTGGCTAACATGACAGAAAAAAAATGATAAATGCTGGAGGTGAAGTGGAAAAAATAGGTATGGTAATAACACTGTTAGTGGAATTGTGAACTGGTCCAATAATTCTGGAGAACAATTTGGAACTATGTCTGAAGGATATAAAACTGTAGATACCCTTTGACACAGCAATATCACTACTAGGTCTTTACCCCAAAGAGATCAAAGGAAAAGAAAAATGATCTATTTGTTCAACAATATTTATAGCAGTTATTTTGGAGGTGGCAAAAAATTGGAAATTGAGGAGATGACCATTATTTTGGGAATGGCTGAACAAGTTGTGGTATATGATTGTGATGGAATACTTTGTGCTTAAGAAAAAGCAAAGAATATGGCTTCAGAAAAACCTAGGAAGACTTATTTAGACCGATGCAAAGGGAAGTAAGCACAACCAGAAGAACACTGTACACAGTAACATAAATATTATAATAACCGTAATCAACTTTAAAAGACTTAGCCACTCTCATCAATACGATGATCCATGACAATTCCAAAGGACCATGATACAAAATGATATCCACCCCCAGAGATAGAATTAATGAACTCTGAGTGCAGATTGAAACATACTTTTTCATCCTATTCTGCTTGCCTTTTTTTTTGCTACATGGCTAAAATGAAACTATTTTGCACGATTTCAGATCTACAATGGGTATCATTTGCTTTCCTTCTCATTGTATAGGGAAGGGACTGGAGGGAGAGGAAGAATTTGGAACTGAAAATAAAAATTAATAGTAAAACATAATAAGTGGGAGGAAGTAATGAAGGAGAGAGAGAGAGAGAGAGAGAGAGAGAGAGAGGAAGAGAGAGAGAGAGAGAAGGAAGATGCCTGACCAGGGGCTGTTGGTAAGAGAGAGATGGAGAAACAGATCCCATTGGAGACCCCAGCCCAGCAATATCAATATTCTGTTTGCCTCATTCCACAGTTCTTGAGAAGAAGCCTTAATGTGTTTAATTTGCAATAATCAAAAGTCTTTCCTTCAGGCTAGATCTGGATTTTTACATGTTTTAGATTAATCTTTACATAATTTGAAAGCTCTATTTTTCATCATTCACTTCTGAAAGGAAAGTTTTCCCTGTACCCAGGCTAATAAGAATTTCCCTAAGGGGGTGTCCATTGCCTTATTAGAGCTGGCTCCTATGGCACCCTTATCAGGGACTAATCACCTTGTCCAGAAATGGTTCAAAGTGTGTGGGGTGGAGGGAAGAGTGGAGGTCCTTGGACAAGCATTCCTTCATTGAGAAAGTCCTTTGGTAGAAAATCTTACCATAGTGCTCTTAGGGGCTTTCTGTGGTGAAGGTTTCTCTTGTCCCACAACTGTTCACATTGTCCCCACCTGGTTGTTACTCACTGATACTATTACAATGAAATAAAGAAACTAAGTATCATCCAGACAAATGATTTATTTGACAAGACATGTGGCTGCAGAAACAAATTGGGTCCCAGACTCTCGACATTGGTTTCTACACAGTTAATATACAACTTGGAAGGAGTGAAAAAAAAGATGTAGGGATTAAAGCCACCTGGTTTCTTATTGGTGGAGGAGATCAGGAGACACTGAGGTGAGAGGTAGAGAGGTAGTTTTTGTGACATTACTGAAGTGCAGTGACAGTTGGGAAGAGAAGTAATCTTGTGACTTGAAATCAGGTGAGTTTAAGATAACTTCACAAAACAGTAGGTAAAAAACAAAATGGAGTTACTCATGCTTTTTTTTTTTAATGTAACAACCGTGGATTCTTGGCACTAACCCCTTAGCAAATGGTCCAGACTAAAAAATATAGTAATGATAACAATTCATATCAGGAAATCAAGTGACCCAGACAGTGACTGAAACAGCATTCTACCTGGATGTGAACAAGCAATCCTGTGAGGTAAACACAAAATCCCTTAGGCCTTTGAAGTCCAGAAGGTCTAATGTAACTCCACAAGCTATAAAAGCCATTAGAGAGAGCCTTAGATATTGGGGAGAATCTGGTCTTTGTTCAGAAAAATAGGTTAATATATTTATTAAAAAGTTATTTATATATAAATTTATATATTCATATTAAAATATATCATATATTTTATTTATACAAATGTATTTATATAAATTTTATTTATGTAAATATATTTATATAAATTTTATTTATGTAAATATATTTATATAAATTTTATTTATATAAATATATTTATATGTTTATATAAATTTTATTTATATGTATGCATTTATATAAATATATATTTATTATATATAAATATATTATATTTATTTCTATTTATTATTATATATTATATAAATGTTTATATAAATATAATGTATATTATAGGTTAACATAATTTTATACACACACACACACACACACAAGCCCCATGATTTCCTACAAGCTAGGATGATGGAGCTAAGTTTTTTTGTTTTTCTTTTTTGGTTAGGCAATGGGGTCAAGTGACTTGCCCAGGGTCATGATAGAGCTAAGTTTTGAGCTCCATTTACCTATGACTTTATAGCAGCTCTCAAACTGACCCAAAACAATTCCTGCTGAGCTTCATCCCTGGGCCACTCCAGGTAGGTCTTGGTGTTCATGATCTTCCGAAGCTTGCAGAACCTCTGGGGAATGGCTTTCTTCTCAATGGGCTCCAAGAGGATGAGAATAGCTGCATCATTGTTTTCATCAAAGAGGCGAAAGTGGGAGAAATCCAGCTCATACTTACACCACTCACTCTTGACGAAGCTTTCTGAAAGCACAAAGAGTGTTTTGTGACTCTTGTCGATGGAGTCGATGATGTTGTCAATGATCCACTTGCCAGGCACAAAGTCCCGCTTGTGGAGACACAGTCGGAAAGGGGGGTCAAAGTTCTCCAGTTCCTGGACCATGAAGTTCTCAACCCAATTAGAGTCCCCTTCACTGTAGGAAACAAAAGCATCATAGCAGATCTCCCGGTCTATGTTTTTTCTGGGCTTTCTCTTGGCCTGGAGCCAGGCCCACATCATTTTCATGTACCAGATGCCATGAAATCGGTAGCATAGAACTCCAGTCAGCAAGGCAAGCAGGAAAAGGAAAGAGCAGATTGCAGCCACCAGTGGCCCTCGGTAGCATTCAGAGAAGGAAAGATGAATCTCCTGAACTCGTTTGCCCCTCACTTGGAATGGAGAATCACAGAGGTAGTTTTCTGGCCAATCGGTCAGGATGTTAGCCAGCAGGGCTTGTTCATTGTGGACAAAAGATAGAAATTCACAAGAACAAATGAAGTTGTTGCCTCCAGCTGCCAAACTTCCCATTGTCTGAAAGGACTCAAGTTGTGCCTTAGAGAAAGAATGCACTGTGTTTTCACTGATGTTCATTGCCACCAAGTTGGGGAAATTAGCAGCATCTGGTAGGGTCTTTAGTTTATTTCTGGAAAGATAAAGCTCTTTAAGATGTGGCAGATGCAGGTGAAAATCACTGAGCTGGTTATTACTAATGTCTAAGATTTCCAGGGACTGAGGAATACATGGAGTTACTGTATAGGTTTTTGTGCTAGAGATGTTCAAATATTTCAACTTTTTTGGCCACTGACAACTGTCAGGCATAGAGTCAAAGCTATTCTTGCTAATGTCGAGGTGAGTCAAGGTTTTCACAGTCAGCAAGAGTTCCCCGACTTTTTCCAGGGATTTGAATTTATTTTGACTGAAATTTAAGGTGTGCAGGCTGGGCCAGGCCCCCTCACAAGCTGAATTTTCTAGACTATTTTCACTCATCAAACCATCACTAAGATCGAAATACTCTAAGGATCTCAAATTTCTTGAGAGTTCACAAGGGACAAGGAAAACCTTGCTACTTGTGAGGGTGATTTTCTTGATTCCTCCTAATAATGAATACACAGAGCTCAGGTCATAAAATGAGAAAAAATCTTTAATCCGTAACCTGTGAATGGTGATTGTTTCCATTTTCCCTTGATTTTCAATTTTACTTAAGGACACATCTTCCCAGTTTCCAATTCCATTAAGTTCACAGTCCTCAAACACAACCTCTAACAATTCAGAAGCAAAGGAATACATTTTAAGAACTTCAGCAAAACTTTTATCTGTGAATTGCACCTTTCTAAATATAATCTTCTCAATAAGTGGGCTGGAAGCATCAGAAGGCAGTGAAAAATCAAAATTTGCCAGATCAGTATTTCTCAGTTCCAAACACTGCAAAGACCTTGCAAGGTCAACCATGATGTCAGGCAGTAAAATTGGCTCCTTGATGCTGACAGCCAGGTGGCTTATGTTGTGAATAGACTTCAGACTTCCTGGCTCATATTTCTGCAGATAATTTGCCTCAATCTCAAAGTCCTCCAGCATACTCAGCCCTTCAAAGTCTTGTTTCTGAAGCTCTAAGATGTTATTGTTCCCCACTTTAAGAACCCTCAAATTGGGGAGATGCAAAAAAAGAGGGCTTTGCCCAAGTTGAGGGTAGAGATTGCCCTGCAAGTGTAGAACCTGCAAGGAAGAGAGGGAATTAAACCAGGAGGATAACAAGTGAGACAAGATATTATTGGACAAGTCCAGACGTTTCAAATTTTTCAGGGACTGAAAGGAATTTGGTTCTATTACACTAATTTGGTTAGATTGCAACAACAGAGCTTCCAGATTGACACAGGTCTGAAGATCTGTTTCTCTGATGTGTGAGATCTTGTTGAAAGACAGGTCCAACTGTTTCACAGCCTCTGTCAGGCCTGAAGGAATGGTGCCCAAAGACCTGGAATGGCCATCACAGGCACCAACAGGATCACATGACATAGAAGTCTGCTTAAGAGCACCTTCTTCTGAGAGACCAATTATGGTCCACAAGACCCACACTGTCCACATGGCATGTCTCATTATCCAGAGGATCAGCCTTAAAAAGAAAAAGAGATCAGGATGAGTGATCAGGATAGGTATATATTTACCCTAATATAGCATTCGTCAGGGCTAATAATCCTAGAACAACATCTCATAAACATTGTAATGGTGCTAAGCTTGTTCTACCTCTCTGATACTTCCCTTTGGGATGGTTGTGAGGCTCAAGTGATATGTCTGCTTTTTTAAACTTTTTTTAATTTGTTAATTTGTTTATTTTTGGTTTTCAACATTCAGTTCCACAAGATTTTGAGTTGCAAATTTTCTCCTCATCTTGTCCCTTCCCCCACCCCAAGATGGCATTCATTCTGAATACCACTTCCCTTAATCTGCCCTCCCTTCTATCACTCTCCCCTTCTCTTATCCCCTTCCCCTTCTATTTTCCTGTAGGGCATGATAGATTTCTATACCTCATTTCCTGTATATCTTATTTCCTAGTTGCATGTGAAAACAATTTTTTTAACATGTTTTTAAAACTTTGGGTTCCAAATTTTCTCCCTTCCTCCCTCCCCACCCACCTTCACTGAGAAGGCAAGCAACTCAATACAGATTATACATATGTAGTCATGCAAAATACTTCCATAGTAGCCATGCTGTGAAAAACTAACTATATTTCCCTTCATCCTATCCCACTCCCCTACCCCTGATTATTCTATTCTCTCTTTTAAACCTGTCCTTCCTTAGAAGTATTTGCTTCTGATTACCCCTTCCCCTAATCTGCCGTCCCTTCTATCACTCTCCCCTTCTCTTTTCCCCTTCCCCTTCTATTTTCCTGTAGGGCAGGATAGATTTCTATACCTCATTTCCTGTATATCTTATTTCCCAGTTGCATGTGAAAACAATTTTTTAAACATGTTTTTGAAACTTTGGGCTCCAAATTTTCTCCCTTCCTCCCTCTCTACCCACCCTCATTAAGAAGGCAAGCAACTTGATAAAGGTTATACATGTGTAGTCATGCAAAACACTTTCATAGTTGTCATATTGTGGAAACCCAAGTATATTTCCCTCAATCCTATCCTGCCCCCATTTATTCCATTCTCTCTTTTAACCCTGCCCTTCCTTAGAAGTATTTGCTTCTGATTACCCCCTCTTCCAATCTGCCCTCCCTTCTATCATTCCCCCCTTTTATGCCCTTCCCCCCTATTTTCCTGTAGGGTAAGATAGATTTCCATACCCAATTGAGTGTGTATCTTATTCTCTCCTCAAGCCAAATCTAATGAGAATAAGATCCACTCATTCCCTCTCACCTTCCCGCACTCCCCTCCACTGAAAAGCCTTTTCTCATCTGTTTTATGTGAGATAATTTATCCCATTCTACCTTTCCCTCCTTCTCCCAGTATAATCCTCTCATACCCCTTAATTTTATTCTCTAGATATCACCCCTTCATCTTCAACTCCCCCTGTGCCCTCTATCTATCTATCTATCTATCTATCTATCTATCTATCTATCTATCTATATTTATGTATATGTATATATACATATACTTTTTTCCCCTCCAACTACCCTAATACTGACAAAGGTCTCATGAGTTACAAATATCTTTCCATGTAGGAATGTAAACAGTTCAACTTTAATAAGTCCCTTATGATTTCTCTTTCCTGTTTACCTTTTCATGCTTCTCTTGAGTCTTGTACTTAAAAGTCAGATTTTCTATTCAGCTCTTGTCTTTTCATCAAGAATGCTTGAAAGTCCTCTATTTCACCGAATATCCATTTTTTCCCCTGAAGGATTATACTCAGTTTTGCTGGGTAGGTGATTCTTGGTTGTAATCCTACCTCCTTTGACCTCCAGAATATTATATTCCAAGCCCTCCAGTCCCTTAATGTAGAAGCTACTAAATCTTGTGTTATCTTGATTGTGTTTCTACAATATCAAGTAACATGTTTGTCAAGCTCTTTGCCCACTTTTAAGTGCCATGTAAATGTAACATCTGTCTTTGTCAAGTAACTTTCAAAGACTCACCAAAACTAAATCAGAGTCTAGTTTAGATTTTCCAGGAGTTTTCCCATCATCTAGATGCTTCACGGATTTGTATGGTATAGGTACAGCAGCAATCTTTGATATGAAGGGAGAAAGATCTAAGTTCATATTCTATCTCTGATACTTACTAGCTAAGTGACCATGAGGAAAATCACTTAACATGGAGATCTAGTTCTTCCATTTGTAATAATGAGGATAATAATAAATGGGCTACCTACTGTGAAAAATGATTCTTAATAATCAATGTCATAGAGATTCAGAGCTTCTCCCAGCCCTCTTCTTCCAAAGTCCTGACTTTAACTTCAGTTTTTCTTCAGAAGGATATTACTGATAATGAGATTGCATTGATTCTCCTTATCCTGGTCAGCTCCCAACCAAGCTTGCAAGTAATTTAATCTAAGATGGAGGAGCCCTTTGTGTTCTGCTCAGGCTTGGGTGGAGACAGATTCTTTTATCTAGATAGCCCAAATCCAGGGGTGGTCTGTTCAGGGGTGAAATAATGATGGAGAGATATCAGCCCCTGTTGGAAGGGTATATAAATTGTACACCCTAAACCCAAAGTGAGTTCAGTTCCAGACTGGCTGCCATGCATGGATGCATGCATGCTGCCTGCTGTGAGAGAAATAAACATTGGTATGACCTAATCCTGTTTGTCTTTCTTCAACTCTGAAGGTTGACTTTTTGGTACCATGACTCGGATTAGGAAAGGAAGAAGAGACTGGATTTCCCCAACAATGCTGGGATTAGGTGCCCAGGACTTATTCTCCTGAAAATTCTGACCCTGATGGGGGTAGGTAAGTGATAAGTCCTTTCTAAACCCCCTTCTTCTATCATTGGACTCCTGCTTGTTTGCTGCAGTCTGAATTTTTCTCTCTGAGCTGGCTCTGGGGATGAAGGTTCAGGCTTGTTGTGAGGATCACATGACTGTAAACTGCTAGGCACAGTGCTTGGCATAGGAGAAACACTATCTAAATGCTAACTGTTTTATTATATCTTTATTAATTAGATGTAATTGCTTCATACTTGGTAACTTTATTGTTTTTAGATATGATCAGTATACAATGACAATGGTGATGAGATAAATGATTTTCTGTGTAAGATAATTTGGAAGTGCACTCAACTAATTGTTTCAAGTTCTAAATACATGATATTGTTTATGGTATTGTTGTATTTCTAAATTTTCTTATGTTGTGTAATTTGGTAAACAATTGTATCACCTATGTTGTTAGAAAAGCAATTCCTCTCATAATCTAGATGTTGATAGATTAAGAATTGTACTGTCAGAAAAAAAATGAATGGGTTAGGAAGCTGTTAGGTCATTCTATCAGCTTCAAGTATTTACAAAGGTAGTTTTTGTTTTTTTGTAAGGGAAATTGATAATTATACAAAGAAAATACCTTGTAAAATCTCCTTTGTAAACCCACAAGGATTTTTGGGACCATCTAGTCATAAATTCTTATCAACCCTGTGTAAGAGTTTTCTGTGTTGTGGAATTCTTACCGAGTAAATGGGAATCCTTGCACAAATCAGGGGTGTGATTTTCAAGTCTGTGCTTATTAATTTGAAAGTTTGTGAGCTATCACATTCACTACCTATGTGAGATTCCAGCATGTAATTGTTTTCTTAATTTCTAGTGACATATTTAAAGACAAAGGGAAGAAAAGATACTGAGTAAATTTTTGAAGGCCTGGTAAACTTTGTTAACGTGATAAGGCTAATTTAACTGGGAATGTTCTTCTTGGCTTATAAAAACTGAATCTCCTCCTCATTACAAACACCTGTTTGACCATAGAATCTAGGTAACTAGGAATTTTGTGGTAATTAGGAATTTAGTTTGTCATGGTACTTTGGGGATTTATTTGTTACTTAAAAGACATTTTACACCAATTGATAAGTTCCAGTTTTAGAAGTTTCCAACTAATTTATCTCATGAGAGTTTAGTGATTATTCCTTTTAACAGCAAAATCAATTTTAAGCTGTTTTTAAGAAAGGGAAATACTTTTACAAAGAAATGTTCCATAAAAATATTTTGTGTGATTTTTGGAAGGCTTACTAAGTTTTCATTTGCAAGCTATTTTATTTTTATCATAATTTGATATTAGTAATAATTACGTCCAAACCTACTGTGAATTTCCAAGTTTCATTCATAGGTTTGTTGTATCCTTAGACCAGCCTCAAAACAAATGGATGTTTTCAGAGAAACAGAGTCAAAGTCAGCAGCTCAATGGAAGCAACATCAGAGCTTCTCCCAGCCCCCTTCTTCCAAAGTCCTGACTTTACCTTCAGTTTTTCTTCAGAAGGACATTACTGATAATGAGATTGCATTGATTCTCCTTATCTTGGTCAGCCCCCAACCACGATTTCAAGTAACTTAATCTAAGGTGGGGGGGTCCTTTATATTCTGCTCAGGCTTGGATGGAAACAGACTCTTTTGTCTAGCTAACCCAAATACAGGGGTGGTCTGATTTCCTCTGTCCAGGGATGAAATGATGATGGAGTGCTTGCTATCAGTCCCTGTTGGAAAGGCATATAAACTATGCACCCTAAATGCAAAGTAAGCTTAGTTCCAGACTGGCTCCTATGCATGGAGGCAATCATGCTGCCTGCTTTGAGAGAAACAAACACTGATATAACCTAATCCTGTTTGTCTTTCTTAGACGGAACTTGTCTACTCTGCTCCCCTTCATGAACTCCATGTTTTAGCCAAACTACCCTTCTTTTCACTCTTTTTTTCTTTTTTTTTTAGGCAATTGGGGTTAAGTGACTTGCCCAGGGTCACACAGCTAGTGTTTGGTCTGAGGCCAGATTTGAACTCAGGTCCTCCTGACTTCAGGGTCAGTGCTCTATCCACTGCACCACCTAGCTGCCTCTAAAGTACCCTTCTTGATGCTCCTCATTCCCAGTATTCATCTCTAGTCTCCATGCCTTTGAACAACATGGACATCATGCTTGGAACGAATTCCTTTCTTATCTATACCTTTTAGAGTCTTCAACTTACCTCAAAAGCTCGGATCAAA